TCCCTGCTGACTAATGATGGTGAACATATTTTCATGCACTTATTGGCCATTTGTATATCTTCTTTTGTGAAATGTTTGTTTAAATCATTTACCCATTTTAAAAATGGGGTTGTCTTCTTATCATGACTGGAAATAAGTTCTTTATATATTCGGCGCAGAGGTCCTTTGTCAGGTTTATATATTACAAATATATTCTCCCTGTCTGTGGCTTGCCTTTGTATTTTCTTAATGGTGTCTTTTAAAGTGCAGAAGTTTTAAATTTTGATGGAGTCTCACCCTAGCTAGTTTGGCTCAGATTTAAAGCGTCGGCCCGTGGACTGAAGGGTCTCAGGTTTGATTCTGGCCAAGGGCACATACCTTGGTTGCAGGCTCGATCCCCTGGGTATGTGCAGGAGACAACAAATCTATGTTTCTCCCTCTCTCTCTCTTTGTCTCTCTCTCTCCCCTTCCACTCTCCCTGAAAAAGTAATGTAAAAAATATCCTTGGGTGAAGATTAAAAAAAAAATTTGATGGAGTCTAATTTATTGATTTTTTTCTTTACAAACTTTGTGTCTTATCTAAGAAATTTTTGCCTTCCTCATAGTCACAAAGTCTTCCTCCTATGTTTTCTTCTAGCAGCTTTATAGTTTTAGTATTTATGTTTAAGACCCATTTCTAGTTATAGTTCATGTGATTCTTAACTGCCCTCCCCCACATATGAATCCAGTTGTTCAAACATTTTCTGTTGAAAAGCTTTCCTTTCCTCATTCAATTTGTCAAAAATCAGCTGAGCATATATGAGCATCATGATTTTTAATCTTATTAAAACTAAATGTTCCCAGGTCAGGTTGTGCCCATTGCCAACCCGCTCTCCTTAGAGAGTCTGTAAAACAGATCAAGCTGATATTCGGGCAGAGGAACCTGTGTCTAATCTCTGTTGTTGTACTCAATACACAGCATGATGTTTTCTGCACTTCTGGGTTGCTTGCTTTATTTTTCTGCAAACTCATAACAATACACTGTGCTGTGTGTATCTGTGATAGAAGATGGAAGAGGCTTTCTGTATACCATTGTGGTTTCTTGCAATCTGTGTGACTGTCTGTGGACCTCTGCTTATATTTTCTTACTATCAGCTTCTAGCTTGAGATTCTAGGGAACGAAGGTCATATCTGCAAAAGCCATTTAGATTTGTAAAGCACCTAACTCAGGGTCCTGAGCATGCATGGAATTTAATCAACAGCTTTGAGGTTACAGCAAACTCGCCCTCCCTCAGTTTCCTTATTTGTATAATGACATGAGGGCTCCTCTCTATTTAGTTCAATTCAATTCAGCCATGGCTGTTCATATAAAGAAAGGCCATCTGATTGTGGCCAGAGAAGGAGACCTGACACTCAACCAGGCTAATTTGGTTCTCTTGGAGACTATCAACGTGTGACATCTAGAACAGACCATGGCCTGGCATTTGTTCATATCACTTACTTTTCAGTTCAATATTGGTCTGAATAGTCTTTTGATTGACTGAAATTAAAGGAACTGCTTTGTGGCCATCTAAGATTTGCACCTATAGACCTGGGCTATATCTTTATGCCCAGTCTAGTGTTGACACTCCAACCCTGGAGAATTCTGTCCCCTCCCTTACTCCCAACGTTCTGTACAGGGAAATCCTTGTCTTAGTGAGCACTGAGGGTGACAGTGAACCGAGAGCGAAGGGAAGAGAAGTCATAAAGTGGCAATGCACAGTGGAGGTGAGATGGAAGATATGTGGATGTTGTTGCCTGACAACCCAGCGAAGGGGCCCCATGTTGCCATGGTGATGGAGGCTCGCTGCCGCTAAGTGCATGAGCAGCTCCCATGTTTCAAATAGCCGCTCGTTAGTGCCATTGCCTTCTCTGAATTGCTGCCCCCTTGAGTCTCTGCTTGGCCCCAGCTGTCCTGATCTCTATTGACAAATGGTTGTCCTTCACAGAGAAATTACTAAGAGCACTCTAATTAATGAATGTGCTAATTATTCTTCCCCATGCCCAGCACATTTGTCTAACTGGCTTGTCACACTAAATAAGTGCAGCCTACACATAAGCACCTACGGCTCTGGAGCAAGGGTCTGGGAGGGGCAGGGGCTCCTGGCCTTGTAGCTGTGGGATAGTTTTTGTTAAATTACCTTTACCGATGGTCAGGTGTCTGAGGAATATGTTATTTTCTGTGAAATGTATGTTTTCCTTTCTTTTCTTTTACAAAAAAATTTCTCTTTAGGGGCTGAGGGACCATCGCTCAATTCACAAGCCACTGAGGGGGCTGACTGCCCAGCATAGGTGCAGAAGGACAGGAGAATCCCCAGTTCTGAAAATTGGTCTGGAAGCAGTATTCATGGGGATTAAAACCCAGACTTTGAAGCTAGACAAGCCTGGGTTTGAGTCCCAGTTCTACTCCTTACTACATGTTTGGGTGTGTGGCCTAATCCATCTGAACCTCAGTTTCACCTTTTGGGCAATGGGAGGAATAATTTGTACCCAGTGGGTTGTGTTGAAGAACAAATACACAAGCAGGGTTCCCAGGACTCAGAGGCTCAGAACTCCAGATCCCAGGCTTTGTCTGGTTTGGTCCTGCCTACAGAAGGGCCACAAGGCTAGTGAAACTTTTGTTTGTTAGGGATCCAAGATCTGGTGCAGGCCTGGTGCTCTCTCCCTTCCCTTTCCCGTGTAATTGTGCCTTTTTTTTCTGTCTCAGCAGCTTTCTATTGAGATGAATGCCATTTCCAGAGGTTTCACCTCTGATAAGTGTTCCTCTGCACTGCAGCCAGAATCTTAATGTGCGCATTGGGATTTAATGGCCAACTCGGCTGACTATTAAAACACTCTTCCCTGGGGAAGTAAGCTCATTCTACCACATGTGCTGTCTGCCTGGTGGGTGGCTCCAAGGAACCCAGCTGTGGGTGTCCCACCATAGGAGGGGGCACAGCTACTGACCTCCTGCCAGATGCTGCTACCAGACGCTAAAGTGGGAATGGCTGGGCCCCCCTCGCTTCCCCTTTGTGGAGCTCCTGTGGGCTTGGTAAACAGCAGGAGGCTGCCCCTTCCTGGTTTCCTGAGTTCCACAGAGCTGGCAAGATTTCCAAAGGCATCTGGGCAGACCATGTCGGATTCTGAAGATGTATTTTCCATGTACCTGCAGAGTTTAGCCCACATGCACACACCATGCACATAAACAGGAGGGAGACTAGGGTGAGCCTTAAAGACACAAGACTGCAGGACAGAGAAACTTCTTTAAAAACTGGGCACTTTAATCTGGGATTATAAGTAGTGGACAGTCACAGCATGATAGTAGATGTACCCAGTAGTCCCCCTGATCCCCCAATCTCTGTTTAGGGAATGATCTCCTTCAACCATATGACAACTATAGAAACTACCAGGTTCTTTCATTTTCCTTCCATCAGGTTGTCCTAGGAATGGTTATCTGACTCCCAAGGCCAGTGAGATGGTCCTAAGAATTAGATGAGCGAAGTCAGTCCTTTATAGGTGACAGAAGCTATAAGACGTAAAACTCTAGAGTTGGGGGTGGATATATTTCCCACAGTGTGAAGAAAACTGGTCAGTAGAGAAAAAGGCTGACAAGCTAAAGAAAGCTGACAGTGAGAGAGTGAAAGAGAGAGGGAGAGAGAGAGGGAAGGAGAGAGAGAGGGAGAGGGAAAGAGAGGAAGAGAGAGAGAAGGAGGAAGAGAGAAAGAGGGAGAGAGAGAGGGAGGGGGGAGAGGGAGAGAAGGAGAGAGAAGGGGAGAGACAGAGGGAGGGAGAGAGACTGAGATAGAGATCTCATGAGAGAGAGAATTCCTTGGCGCCAAGGCCCAACTACATCTCTGCTCTTTTCAACTTTTGGCTGTTCAGATCCTTGGGTTCTTTGAGCCAAAAAATTTCCCTTTTTGCCCGTTAGTTTGAGCTATGATTCTATTGTTTGCAATCAGCCCTTTTAAGGGGACTGGCCTTCACTTTGAACACATTGTCACTAAGTTATGATAACTGTTGGTAGGCTAACTATTTGTGGGGGTCAGACTCCTTGTTTACTGGGACCTAAGCATACCTGAGACTTACTAAACTTTCATAGAAATGAGATCTCCTTAAGGAGAACGCAAAACTCTTGCTAGTGCAGAGGCACTCAGAGGGAGCTCAGGTATGACCAGCCTGGACCGCCCGGCACCTCGTTCTCTCTAAGTCGAACTGAGGACACTCAAGCTGGCATCTGCTGCTCTCCCTGTGAGGGGTGTGTGATTACTTCCCCATGCTGGCCTCTTGCACACCAAGAGGCAGCTAGCTCCCTGCTACCACCCAAGTATATCGGTCAAAGTTCTCTTTCCAAATGAAGTTTTGCTAAAAGCTCCTCTTAATCAGTGCCAAAGAGTTGTTGAATCTGGGATGAAGATTGCAGGAATCTTGCATTTTCTCTGCAACTGCCGAGGGGTTGCCATTTACCAGGGAAAGTTGCTGTGTAAACTGCCAGGTGACCACCTGCCCCAACCAGCAGGTCTACCCTCACACCTTCTCTGTACGCTTATCTTTACGTTGAGAAGACTCCAGGGAAGGTGTCTCCACAATTACCTCTGTGGAACCAGCTGCAGTGTTTAATAACTCTTCCTGTTTGGAAGTTTTCCTTAGGGGTCAGCTCCCCTTTATCTCAATTCTTTGGTTGAGTTTTAATTCTCTTGTTGCTTTCAGCTGCTCCTCCTCACTCATCCAGCCACCTGTCCATTCATTTATCCAGGCTTATTACCTGGCTGCTACTGCAGCTCCTGCCATGTGTTAAGTATTCCTTTCCCCTACTAGGAATTCAAGAAAAGAAAGGCAGCACTCAGGACACAGATCTTTCTGGTGCTCTATAAATAAAAAACAAGTTTTATTTTTCTTTCCTCCCTGATCCTCCCCCCGAGCTCTGCTTCTCCTGGTAGGTCACACTGAGCCAGGGCACTTGGTGGCTGGTGAAGGAGGGAGAGGGGGAAGCACTGTGTAATTGTGCTGGGACCTTCAGAAATTCTAATAATGAAAGACAGAGTGCAGGCCCTCACTTCCCCTTCCTGCACAGTGCAGACGTGTGTGCCACGGAACAGTCCTCGCTGGTGAGCCTGAAGCAAACATGGACCAAGAAACTCTGAGCAATATTGTCCTGTTGGCCATCGTCACCCTCATCAGCGTGGTCCAGAACGGTAAGGGAAGCCTCTCACTTGGGAGGGAAAACAAGGGGAAATTTTATTTGTTAGTTGTTTGAAAGTCAGACTTACACAGTTCTCTGAGTTCTCTCTCTGTCTCTCTCTCTCTGTGTACTTTTGCTTTATCTATATTTGTTTCTTTTTATTTGAGTATATAGAGATGTGTGTATACTTCTGCATGGATTGGGTGTTTTGCTTGTCCTGGTCTTTCTTTCACTTTAGTGGTGATGGCTAACCAGGTTTGCAGTGCCAGGGCAGCCACCTGAAGGCTTTACAGAGTCCCTCACCGAGGGGCCCGCAATCAGCATTTAACTATGATTAGTTAGTGGGGCCAGGGAGGAGAGCAAGAAGCTTGGAAAGGGAAAATGAGGCATGTTCACTCAGACACTAGACTTTACTCTGTGCAGCTGGGCTGACTTCAGTGCATCTGAGGTTACTGTCAAGTGCAGGCTAAAAAAAGTGAATTTGGGGATTTGTGAAAGGAAAATCACCTTATCATTATTTTACCTGTGTTGCTTTTTTTTTTTCTTTTGAAGAAACATGTCTTTTGTAATACTTTTTTCCCCTCTAGCAACGTATAATTTTTGAAGTATTTCCCATATGCATTATATACTTACATAAAGAGAGAGAGAGGGTAAAATTTTTTTGTTTGGGGTTGCACACCCACCCATTAGTCCTGCTACCAGTTTTTAAAGGAACAAGTAAAATACCCAGACCTGAGAAAGCTAGGACTATGTAGGACTCTCTCTTTAAGGGTCTGAGTTAGGATTGCATCAAACTCTTTTTATAAGTATCCAGGGGCTTTGTATTATGCAATTTACTAAGACAGAGAAAAAAGGAGAGTACTTACTAAGGACAGCACTATAACTTAATGGTAATGAATGTTCACACACCATCACACTTTAGAAATTTGAGTATTTCATCAATTTGGGATATTCTGATATTTTCTCCCAATTTGAATATGGACAGAAGATGGTGATTAACCTTCTGGGCACAGAGTGAGGCTTCCCTGTGGCCCCTACACCAGAGGCCCAACTCTGCACACTCTGAGGAGTTTTCTTATATGGGACAGCATTTTGTAACTTTATGACCCAAACGTTTTCATACGAAATCACATGGCAGTGGAGTTGCAGCTCGGGAGGGAACAGCTGGATTGTTTAGGTTGCCATTTCCTCAAGCCACTGCTGTTTCATGTGGGCACTGTGCCCAGCCTCTCTCAGCTTGTAAATGAGCAAGGGGCTCATTCATCCCTTAGCACCCTACATGGACCCTGCTCTATGCTAGGCAGTGTCCTATCCCCCAGGGAGGGAAAGATCAGTGGGAACAGATGAGCAGACTAGGTCGGCAGGAAGCCTTCAAGGACCTCTCTGGGAGGCAGTAGTATGGGTGGAAGGCAGGCAGTGCCCATTTAGCTATGTGCAGGATCTTTGCTCGAGCCTCTCCCCATAGACCCATCAACACAGCTGACAAGTGTTCCGGTCAGGCAGCCAGTGCCCTCTCACTGCCTGTGAAGACAGGGCTGAGCTCAGTATGGAGGTTGGCCTTCACTCTGAGCTGCTTCCTCTCGGTTCAGACCTGGGGGACGGGGAGCTGAGGGGGTTGCTGCAGTGTCTCCAGTTATAAGAACAGTCTCTTCATCTCTCCTAAGGGAGATGCACCAAGACCTGGCCCTGGACTGTCGAGTGGGTGCTGGGCTTCTCTGTAATGGCTTAGGGAACCCTGAGCAGAGATGGTGAGATTTTAATTATTTTTGGCAGATGCGATTAAGAAGAAGTTCTTTGGTACAGTGGGGGAGGAGGGATTATAGATGGCCAAATGTCTAAGTTTTAACCACAATCTAAAGGCCATTTTAGATAGATAAAGATATTATCTTTATGATCTCACAGAGTTCCACCAACCGATGAGTGGAATGGAGGCTTCCTGGTGAGAGAGATACAAGTATGAACAAGCACAGAGCTATTTTTGGGGGCTGGAGACTTTTTCATGCTGGGCAGACCCCACGTGACACCCCCCCAGTCTCTGTCCCTCCCCAGCCCCCTGTGAGCAGCTCCAGCAACATGGGGGCATAGTGGCCTTGTACAGTGCTGCCCCACCTAGTGCTTGGGAAGGGACAAACTGAAGCCACAGAAAGAGCCCTTGCCACCACCTCTGGGTGGCTCAGGACAAGCGTGCACCCCTGTTGGGCACAGACCTGAACTCCCATGCAGTGCAGAGCTTACTGTGTGAGGCCTTTTCGTTCATAACTGTTAAACGTGCCATGTAGTGGAACAAGAAAAATCCCCATGACTTAGGAAACAGCACCTCTGCTTGTTTTCTCCATGAGTTTCTAGGCAAACACAAAAGCCCAAATGTATGTCCAGAGCTTCTCTTTGCAATTCTAATCAACCTCAATGTAGCAGCCACAGATCTACCTTACAGGGTTTGGAAAATATGCAAAAACTATGCTTTCCCTCCCTTGCCCACAAAACGTCATTCCAAACCTTTCTTGTTTGTTTTAAGAAATATTTACATGTTGTTGCCAGGCACTGCACACTTTGTCTTTGTCCCAAGACAAGTCCGTGTGTGTCTACTCCAGTGTCTGGGGCTCTGTGCCTTGCTACACCTCAATATGTGGGAGCTCATATTCCGGAGAGGCTGGGGCCCAGCCACCTGGTGGAACTTCCTCCTCTGCCTCCCAAACGTTCTCTAGTCATCAAGATCTTTGAACATATGGCCCTCTTCCAGCTTGATCCAGCAGAACGTAGGCATGGAAATGCAGAACAAGCCTGAAATATATCATTCTAAGAAAGCTAAGCCAGAATCACCAGAGCTTGGTCTCCTAGGGAGGACAGAGAGAGACCTTCCCTGTGAAAAGCACCCAGAGGACCTACATTTTCTCCTTCCCAAGTGCCAGCAGCTTTGACATGGAGCAAAGGTGGGACACAGATTTGGAGAAAGTGATTTCCAGTGTAAGCCAAACTAATTAGATTGGGAGGAGAGAGCGAGTCTAACTGGTGACAGCAGGGAAAAGGTATCTTCCAGCAGGAGAACTGTTACCTCAGCCACTCTGGTGGTAGGGGAGGTGGCAAGAGTTAGCATCATCCTCTCTCCTCTAAGAGCAACAACCTCCTCAAGTCTCTTCTTACTTTGAAGCCAAGAAGTGGGACATGATGGCCCCTGCAGTCATAAGGGTTTGTGAGAACTGTGATAGGAGGGAAATAGAGCCAGTAGGGTCCACCTATCTCTCCATGCCTTCCCTGCTACGTCCAACTCACGCACTCACACAGTGAGTCTCATGAGCCTCCATATCGGAAGACCTCACAAACCTAGCCTGGGGTTTGATGGGCTTTAGAAACAGGATCAGGGACTTCTGAAGTTCCCCGGTGCAGAAATCTTCACACATCCTCAACAGCTCCTACAGGAATACTGTTGTAGTGGAGAGTCTCAACCCACTGAATGTGCCCTGCCCTTTGTCATGTGTAATGAGAGTTTGCTCTGTGTCAAGTACAGTCCTTTGTGCTGGGCATAATATTATCTCATTTAATCCTTCTATCCTATGAAATATATTATTAGTATTCCTATTTTACAGATAAGAGAAGTGGGGCTTAGAGAGGGTAGACCATTGGTTGAAGGTCCTAGAGTCAGCAGTGGTGAAGCTGGGATTCAAACTTCCTCCAAAGTATAGATGCTTACACTATGTATATCGCCTCAAATTCATTTATTCAAGAACTCATAACCCAGGAAGTTCTTTCTAAATTTTTTATTTATTGATTGATTTGAGAGAGGAAGAAAGGGAGAGAGAGAGAAACATTGATTTGTTGTTCCACTTATTTTTGCATTCATTGGTTGATACCTGTATTTACTCTGACTGGGGATTGAACCTGCAGCCTTGGCGTACTGGGACCAACTGAGCTACCCGGCCAGGGCAGGAAGTTCTTTCTAATACTGAGGTGAAATCTGCCCTATAACTTCTATCCACTGGTCCTGTTTTTGTCCTCTGGAAAAGCTTAGACTGTTCCTGCTGCTTCTGTGTTTACAAAATCAGCTGTAATATTCTTTCTTCAACACATCATTTCTCATAGGTCTTGATTTCCAGAGTCCCTTGTCATTGCCTGCTCTTTCCATCTTGCCATGTCCTTTCTAAAATACAGATAGGTGTCTCCTGTGCAGGCAAACTGTTCCTGAGACCCAGACAGCAATTCTGTTAAAATAATCTACGTATGAGATATTCTTTTGAAGATTTGTATGACACTGCTCGCTCATATTAACTTTGCAGTTAACTAAAATCTCATGATTTTTAAATGAGATCCTGAAAAAGTTATTTAACTTCTCTCACCCTCAGTTTCCTCAACTGAGAAGCAGACTTATTAATAACTACCATGTGTGGAGGTTGAAGGTATTGCATGAAATAACATAGGTGAGGCAGCTAGCAGTGCCCAGTGTGTGGTTGATTCTCAGGAGTGGTCTGCAGGCTTCTGTCTCTGATCTCTATCTCTATTTCTCTCTAGCTTGGCCTGATGTTAGCAGCTGGCCAAGATAAGTGTGTTAATGGTCTTTGCACTCACAGTTTCTGCAACATAGTTGAGGATAACAAGGGGCTGGAGTTAGAGTGAGCAAAGGTAGCCCAACTCTTTCAAGTCTAGCTTAGAAAGAAAGAGAGATAGATCTAGTGGAATACTGGATAGAGACAGACTTGTTTTCATTTTGTTTTAAGAATAGGAAAGATTTGAGTGTGTTTCCAAGGTAAAGAGAAGGAGGGGGGAAAAAAGCTTGAAGGTTCAGAAAATAAGCAAAACACCAATGCAACAAAGACCTGAAGAAGTAGCAAGAATGGGGTCAAGGTCAAGTCTTGGGAAACAGGAAAGGGTTTGTTCTCTGAGCAAGGAGAGGAAGAAGGGCTGACTCAGGGAAGTACAGTCAAGTTGTGATGCTGGTTGCAGAAATAACCTCTGACTTTCTTAATACTGTCCCAGTTTACATGTTCAGAGGTCAAGATGTCACCTTGGGTTCTGGAAAGACAATGATTAGAATTTTCTACTGGATTTTGTGCTAAGAAGAGACATTCAGAATGGATAAATGTGTGTTTAAACCCTGTGTAGCTGAGAGGCTCCTTGTAGTGAGCATCAGTGAGACAGTGAGAGGAAAACATGCCCTCAAAGGCCCAGCTGGATCTGATCTCCAGCTTTACTGTGCCCCAAGAGAGTGACTCTGACATCATTATTTAGCCTCCCTGAGCCATAGTGTCCTTATCTACAAAGTGGGAACAACATTGGCCCAATAAGGGATTCTATGTCATGTGCCTACCAAAGAGCTCGCAGTATGGTAGATCCTCCTTCATACAAGCTGGCCCTGGAGATGGGCTCAAAATGAGCCCATTTTGGGGGAAGAAATGCACTTTTGCCAGACAGAAAACCATGAAAGGCTTTTATTCCAATACAAGGCATCTTTTCACGTCTTTCTGAGGAGGTTAATAAGAAGTTGATGAAAGGGAACCTTGTGGATGGATCCCTGACGATTTCACTTTCCTTTGCCCTTTTGACTCTTGAAATAGGAGTAAAGGAATAAAATGAGGGGAAGGGAGAGAAAGAGAGAGAGAGACCTTTACTCCCCAGGGCCAACATCCAATCTATAGAAAACCCTCTGGATTCTTGTCTCCTCCACAACATCTCTTACATCCCACAGCCATTATTCTAATCATCTCCCTCCCATTTTCTCCCCTGTCCTGGTCTCATTCCTCTCCATGGTCCCCACACTAAAAACAGGGTGGCTTTCTGATTACACCATGGCTTAGCTTACACTTGTCAATGACTCCTTTTTGCTCTTGAGATGGAAATAAATTCCAAATTTATTAACATGGCTCACATCAAGGTCTCAGTCACACTGTTAAATCCAGTGGACACTTCTCAATCATCATCTTCAAGCCTTGGTTTGCTTATTGCTTCCTCACTGAGGCTCACTCTGTCCAACCTATAGGGCACTTCCAATGGCCCCATACTATGCTCCGCTTTCTCTTTGCCCATAGCCCTGCACACTGTATAAATGTAATTGATGTGTTTGGTTTCCTGTGTGTGGTCTGTCTCCTCCTTTTCTGTCCTTGCCAGAACATAAGCTCCCCATGCCAAAGCTCTTTGTGTGTTTTGTTCTCAGATGCCAGCTAAGTGTCTGGCACATGACAAGTGATAATAGATAAACATCATTGAAAGAACAATTTACCACCTATCTCTCTGGCTTCATTTGTAATTCAACCAGGTTCTACTCCCAACTCTCCACTCCCCATCATAAGCTAGACATACTGAACCAAAGACAATTCTTGCCTCTAGACCTTTGCATATTCCATTCTACTTCGGTAGAGTGATCTTTTCTGTTGTCTCCTGCCCCTCCACCTGCTTAGCTAATTCATATTTGTTCTTCAGATTTTACTCTAAGTGTCACTTCCTCTAGGAATTCTTCTGTAACCTGACAATGAATTAGGTTGCCTCCTTTGCCCCACTATAGCATTGTGTTCTCACTCAATCTCATCTTAGTGTGAATTGCTATAGACTAATTTCTGCTTTACTTCTTCATTTATTTCCTTCAACTGTAAGGTCCTTGAAAGAGGGCTATGTCTTGCTTATGGTTGCACCACCAACAGCAAATACAGTGATAAGGGGAGAGTAGCTGCTGAATAAATTTTGCTAAATGACATTTGATGGAGGACATTTTTTTCTTAACATTTGATATGAGATGGCAGGTTCAAGAGTATGCTGATTATAACCCAAATGTAAACCTTTCCCTGGCAGGGTTCTTCGCCCACAAGGTGGAGCATGAAAGCAAGACCCATACTGGGCGGAGCTTCCAGAGGACAGGGACACTTGCCTTTGAACGGGTCTATACTGCCAAGTGAGTCCAAATCCTGACATTGTTGACTAACAAATTGGGGGCAGGGGCACCAGGGCCTTTCTACTGGACTGATAGCCACCCTCAAGGCCATATGTTTGTCTGGCCCAACCTTCAGAATGCCAGGGAGGCAGGGTTCCCAGGAGAGGTAGAACTCCCCCTGGGAGGCTTTGTGGAAACCCCTCACCATCTCAGTAAGTGAGTTAAGAGAAAGGAAGTGGGAACCCTGGGGGTGAGATCTCCACAACTCCCCCTTGTTCCAGAGCCTTGTTCCAGTCATTTAGTTACATAGTTAACCAGTTTCTTGTGTGGTTAGTGCAGAGGTAATACCATGAAAACCAGCTGCTCCTCACCTTCCACCTGCAGAAGCAACAAGCAGGACTTGCTGGCAGCAGCCTGCCACTCATGGACCCTGCGGTCCCCTCAGTGGAAGTCTGGGGGTGAGGCAGTACATTTCGTAATGCTGCTCAGCTTGAGCAATCAGAACAAGAACAGAAAAATGGGGGAATTATGCAATGGCTTTCCTACCTTTCATTCTTTGCTTTTGAATATAAAAGGTGTTTGAAAACACCTGAACAGTCCAGTGAAGGAGCCGTTGCTACCTGGGATGCAATGGATTTTATTCAAACCCTCATTTTCCCTCTGTGCAAAATGCATTTAAACAGAGGGCTCAGCCAAGTGTGTCTGCTGCTCCTCTGGGCCTATATTTAGAGGCCTGAAAGAAAGGAAGGCTTTGACTGTGAACTGGAGGGTCATAGAAGGTGCTGGGGATCAATGCAAAAGGCCCGGGCATGTTGGCAAAAGCCACAGCCCCCAAGTCTGCATGCCTCTTGTAAGCTACAGGGCCTGGGTGATGTGTTAGTCCAGTAGAAAGCCAACCCCAGCAAGAACTTCTCCAGGGACCTCCAAAAGCACCAAAGAAAGGCGAGTCCTGGGGGTGCAAGAAGACAACATGTCTTTAACCTTGCTATCTAAAAAAATAAAAGCTTAAGATTTACTCATTTTTAATATACAAATGGACAGTATATAATTTATGTAAAACGTATCTGTTAGAGGGTTGCATGATCAAAACTTTTGGTTGATGGGGTGCATGATCATAAATGTTTAAAGACTGGTTATGAAGGAAAAGTAGCAGGAAAGATAAATGATGCTGATAATTAAAAAGCTCAATGCATATTTTTCAGTATAAGATATGATTGTTGACTGATACAGATAGTTCAAGATCATGGGGCAATTGATAAACAGACATCACAGCCAAGTGTGGCCCATCAGCTCAGATTTTGCCTCCATAATGGTCTGCCCCACCCCCAGCCCCATGAGGGCAGAACTGAGCCAGCATTTGAGAGAGAAAAGGAATCTCGGCTTTGACTCTCTGTTCGTGGGTATAAATTATAGTTCAAAGCCCTGTTCACAGCAGATGAGCACAGGTAGAACAGCCAAAGTTTGGTTTTTGGAGAAAAATCTCAGTTAATGGACCTAAGACCCTTCCCCATTAGTGCAGGTAAGCACAGGTTGCAGAGAGGAGATGTCTAATTTCCTAGTACATGTTTCATAGATGAGAAGTTTGTGGGATGTTGACAGGTGTTACAAGAAGAACAAGTTCTGCACAGCAAGACTTTTTGAGAGCCTTCAATGTGCTAAGGGACACTGTGATTCTTGGTTCTCCAAGAAGGGGAGGTGTTTCACAAAATGCGTTTTGGGAAATACCACCCTCATGTTCCTTCTTCCCTGCACCCCTCAGAATCCACTCTAGACTCACTTAAAATCACTTGAAGGTGATAGATCTACATTGAGTCTATTAATTAGTATTGATACAATTACTATTATGTACTTATTTTAAATTAACCTATACTAACTAACTAACAAAACACTAAGTGCTTCCATATCTTATTCCAAAAGGTGGAGAAAAGTGAAAAGTGAAAGGGAAAGTAGCAACGAGTTCTTTTCTCCATCAAAATGTTGGCACAGCAGAATGAACGTGTGGCACAGCAAACTGAGTGTAGTCTGGTGAGCTGTTGCAAGATCTGCTGAGTAGCTCATAGTTAGACCTAAGGCAATGAAATAAAAAATGGGGTTGTCAGTTTTGTCTTGCAGAAAAAAATGGCACAAAAGTCTCCACAAAAGAAAACTTGGAATAATAAATATTTGTCAATAGGAAAGACAAATTTCACTGGGGATTCTAACAAGGAAGACATTGGGGCAAGAATAGCCACCATTTCTTGAATGCTGCCTGTGAGCAAGACACTGCTTTATCTCATGTTATTCCCACAACAATTCAGGAAAGGAATTACTGATGTCTTCATTCACCTCCAATAGATGAGAAAATTGAGGTTTCGTGAGGCCAGGAGATGCATTCACTTTCACACAGCCACTAAGTGGTATTCCCACATTGGACCCAGTCTTTGTGACTTTGAAGACCACAAGAATGCCCACGAGGCACTACATCACTGACCAAAGTTACTTGAATTCATCCTGGCAGTGGCTCTCTGTCAAGAAGGCCCATGTGTGCATGGGGCTTCGTTCAGGTGGAGACATGTCAAAGAATCCTGGATGGGGGAAGGTACGGGCTTGAGCCAGAGTGAGGGACAGGATTGGGGCATATTCTGAAAATCCACAGGAGGAATCCTTTCTCTTACAGCTGGGAGAGTTTCATTTGACTCTGCAGACTGTTTTATTAGGGAACACAGTGACTTAAGACAATAGGCAGGAATGACTGAATGGCTGATCCAGTGTCAAATCACTAGACATTCTGTCTAATGAGCAAATCCTTTGGTCAATGCAGAATTTTTAGGAATGTGGCGTCACCCAGACAAAATCCGTACTTTAAAACCACCAAATAACCAGCCAACCAACCAAAGCAGAAGCATGAGACTGAGGCAGAAGCAAGGACGATCTTCAGCATTAATAAACTTTCCAACTGTGGGAGCATCAGATATTAGATCCATCAGATACAAGACGTTATTCAACTATATAAAAAAGGATGTTCACTCTAATTTCCTTGAACTTGGAAGTGGGTCACATTCTCAGTCCTCAAGCTGCAGCTTTGTCCTCTCATAACATATAAGAGTAGAGGTCATGTTCACGCGAATAGCTGCTGCAGGTATCACTCTGGGACCTGTTTATTCTCCATGCCCTTCACCCCAGGTGGTATTTGTAAGGAGCTCCTGCCTGTCCACTAGATAAGTGACAATGAGATCAGCGGGGCTCTACTCTCTCCTGTGTCTGTATCCCAGCGTAAGACACACTGGTTTCTTACTTTTACATTCATTGATTCCTCCAGTAAAGGCTGCTTTGATCATCAGAAGGACAGAAAGGCCCCTGTGGCCAGGAACATTGCCTGCCTCTCTGGGTTCTCTGCAGGGGACGGCCCCAGGGCTGGTAATTCTAGAATTCCCTGTGGTCCCCCTGAGGCCCAGGGCCCTATTAGTTTGAACAGGTGTTCATAGCTGATCCGGGAGGAAAATCATGAGAACCAGATCAAGAGGGATCCAGATGAAGGAATCCAAGGAAAGAATTTGGATAAAAAGCCAAATATATTTTAAAAATTGCCTCTGGCTTTTACCTGCACAGTTTGAATTACATGAGACCAATACTTCTCAAACCTGAACATGCACCAGGATCACTTTTGTTAAAATACAGACTGCTGGAGGTCCGAGGTGGACATTAACATCTGCATTTCTCAAGAGTTCCCCGAGGGGATTGTGCTGGTCCAAGACTAGACCCTGAGAGCCACCAGTTAGACCACCAACTCTTGGAGCTTAAATGGATCTTAGAGTTATTCATTATCAGTCTCTTAGTTTTACAGGTAAGGAGACTAAGTTTAGAGAGATTGCTGGGCCAGTGACCAACAGCTGGTCAATATCAGGTCAGGGACTCAATCCTAATTCCATACCCTTTCACCCTATTGTGTTACGCCTCTCCTTCTGGGCTTCCTTTACAAGGGTTGTTTTTCCATGGATATGGGTATTGGTTGTCTTGACCTAGACTATAAATTTCTCAACAGGACACTCGCTATTTAATTTCTTAGAGTCAAAGTTATAACATACCTGGTTTAGAGTTAGACTGACCAGTGTGTGAATCCTGGCTGGGTGAACCTGGGCAACTTACTCAACTTCCCCCAACCTCTGTTTCTCATCTGAAATGTGAGAGGAGTTGTGAGAAGAGTCACGGCCCCTCAAGGATTATAGCCCCTATCCTAGCCCTGGGCACCTATGAATATGTTATATTACATGGCAAGGGGAAGCCAAGGTGAGTAACCAGTTGACTTTAAGGTAAAGAGATTGTTCTGGATTATCTGGGTAGGACCCAATGTAATTGAAAGGGCCCTTTAATTGTCGAGGAAGGAGGCAAAAGATTTGGTGTCAGAGCAATTTCAGTGTAAAAAATACTTGATCACCCATTGCTGGTTTTGAGGTTGTAAGGGGCCACCAGCAAGGAATACAGGTGATCTCCAGAAGCTGAAAAAGTCAAGGAAACAAATTCTGCCCTGATCCTCTGAAAGGAATGCAGACATGCTGACACCTGGATTTTAGCCCAATGAGACCTATTTTGGCCTTGTGACTTTCAGATAATAAATTTGTCCTGTTTAAGGTAGTAAGTTTATGGCTACTTGTTACAGCCGCCATCGAAAACTCATGCAGTCACCATATGTACTCACAGGTTCGTGGTGAGCTTAAGTGAGATGAAGGTGTAAAACACTGGTACAGTGCCTGGTGTAGAGCGAGAGCCCCTTGGTGGCAGTGAGGACTGAGCCCTGCACACAGCAATCACACAATCAGCAAGAAAATTTTCTGAACATCAGCTTTTCTGAACCCACCCTGGTTTCTTTAATGTGTGACCTCACCTTTCCTTCCTCAGCCTTGGCAAGGGGAAGCCAAGGTGAGTAACCAGTTGACTTTAAGGTAAAAAGATTGTTCTGGATTATCTGGGTAGGACCCAATGTAATTGAAAGGGCCCTTTAATTGTCGAGGAAGGAGGCCTGTGGGTCTGAGCTGACTGTGTGTCTGCCATAAAGGTCTCTTTGGCTGGGCTCTTCTCCCTGCCACCCTACCCTGACTGCTGCCACTGCGTTGCTCACTGTCAATTCCAGAAGCACTTTGGCAAAGCCAGGAGCAGGAACTCTGCCAAAGCCAATCCATCAAGAAACTGAGTCACCAATGGGCTTCAGTGAGGAAGAGAGTGAATGGGTTCTGAACATGTGTTGCTTTACACCACTGTCGGTTTCTGATGTGGTGACTGGTGCCAGTCTTCAAGGGTATACATGGCATTATGAATGGGCGTGCGCTCCACGTGTGATGGTGCTTATTAATCTGAGGTTTCAGGTATTTTTCAGATGACACTGTGGTGACATGTTTGTTGATTTCTTTTCTTCATATTTGTTTATTCTACAGCCAAAACTGTGTTGATGCGTACCCCACTTTCCTCGTCGTGCTCTGGAGTGCAGGGCTACTATGCAGCCAAGGTAATGCAGCAGCTTCTCTCTGTGTTCTCCTTAAAATGTGCTTGAGGAGGCTTCAGTTCAGGTTCTTTGTTGAAAAGACTTTGCCTGACCTCCAGCTCTGACCTGTGAAGCCCTGGAGAGGTGAGACCCCCACCAGCCCAGGCTGTGTTTCCCACTTGCTCTGTGCCTGTGGATTGGTGTGATAATGCATTGCTAATGCTGGCTCCCTGGGGGCTGGTTGAGAGTGACTGCACTGACAAGGGTGGTTTAAGGCTAAATGTGACTCAGAATCCTTAAGCAGTGTTAGCTCAGATACAAGGGCATTATAAATGAGAGTGCCAGAGGGATCTATTCTGGGACTACTGTCACTTGGCTCTCCTGCTAATAAGCTTCCAGCCTGGCAGTCCTCCCTCGGGCCAAGTCTGCAGTCATGGGCTGGATTCCAGGTCTCTAGCCTTCCCTGGTTATCAGCAGCCCACAGTCTTGACTTCAGAAAGTTGACTCCCAGAGTGGATTTAAAATTAAATGGAAACCAGAGTAATATTTTTTGGTCCCCTTTGGAGACTGGCACTGTGTCAGGTGGAGGAGTGGCATGAGATGGCCAGCATCCATGCTGTGGCCCAGCAGGGTGTATCAGGAGAGGCTACTAGTGTTCTCTGCTGAATATTTAATCCTAATCACCTCCTCCCACTTTGTAAAGTAGGCAGAGTGCATATTATTCCCCCTACCGTCTTTGAGGACACTGTGGTTCAGACAGATGGGGTCATTTGCTCAAGGTTACTCAGCTGGTGAATAGCAAACCACACTGAGGGCCCAGGTCTCTTGGGCTATATCCTGCATTTTTCACAAGTAGCCTTTTACTTTATTCATTTATATAACACACGTACGTAGAACACCTACTCTGTGACAAGCCCTTTGCTTGGATATACCGTGACCAATAAAGAGATGGTGGAGAAACCCATAGTAATTGGCAAGATGAACCACAGAAAATCAGTGAGTGGGTAAATTATTGCCAAGAGTGAGAGATGCTGCGAAGGCAAAGAATAGGGCAATGATAGAGAAGAGAGGCGAGGGATGGCAGAGAAGCCATTTCAGGGACGCCCTGTGGCCTTTTTCTGTGCTCCACAAGGCTATCACCAAGCTCACTATTGATTTTTCACTTTCTATCCCGAGTTAAATAAGGAACATGCCCAGGAGGACTTGAAAAACTAGGTCAAAATATGCTTAGACTAGGAGTTCTGATTTCTTTTCTGTTTTCGATGATACTCGATGAAGAATATAGAGTTGTTCCAGCTAGACAAATACAAAGGGAGTCTACAGGTGTGTCGGAGTCTGTGACTATGTGTTCCCTGGCGAAACATGTGTTGGCATTGCCAGGGGATGAAATGTCAGTAAATCCTTGTTCGTATCAATTAATAGATGGTAGAATTTCTTAGCTGAAAGGAACCTTGGGATCATTCTAGCCCAAATCCTTTACTTTACAGAGAAGGAGCCCAAGCTCCAGAGGGACAAGTGGCTTGCTCAAACTTTAGAATTGTAGAACCCAGATTTGCACCCACTGTGCCTCTCCCGCTGTTCCAGGCAGCCCAGGTGCAGAGAGGTCCATACCATTCCTGGCATGAGGGCAACAAGTGAGACCATGTCCCACCCTGACTTCTATTATCGTTCAATGTAGTTGAAGAGATGGGCTACTAAGTTAACTCAGAGCCTAAATAGTGAATGAACCAGGAAAAACTTTGTCTAGAGCAAATTGTGAGTTGTGACAATTTTGTGATATTTGGAGAATAGGATGAACTTCACAAGCAGTTCCTTCTGTGCTTTTGTTTCCTCATTTGTCATATAACAATAGTATTTTGGGAAGCAAGGCAGAGTTGTGGAAAGGACATGGGTCTGGGAGACTGACAGACTGGGGATTATTCTGAGGATACCTTTTGCTGCTGCTGTGACCCTGGGCTGTTACTCTGCTTTCCTAAGCCTCAGTTTCCTCATGTGTAAAACAGGGTGATTGTGTGAAATAATGTGCATTCAGCCCGACACAGTGCTTGGCACATTGGGTTGAACCATATAAAATTGCAGCTATTATTAATGGTGCTGGTGGTGGTAATACTGTTTTGAACTCAGACCTGTTTTCAAATTCCACCTCTTCCTTGGCCCACCTATCTGATATTTATTCATTCATTTGAGAAATATAGAAAGCCAATATGTGCCAGGCATGAGGCCAGGCACAGAGATGATGGCTGGCAAAGCATGGCTGTCCTCATGAGTCTTTTGGTTTGGTAGATGACTCTGGGTAAACCGACTTTCCAGAGCCTAAATTTCTTTATCTGCCAAATGGTGACAGTAATGTGCTCCTTACCAGGTAGCTGAGAGGACTGGAGACCCATGTACCCAAAGAACCTTGACAGTGCTGACATATAGAAAGTGCTTGGTCAGCACAATGAATCTGGCCGGTTTTCCAAGTGCTTGCATACCCATGCTTCTCTTTGACTCTCAATTATTCCTGATAGGTAGGAAAGCTGTAATCAGCCCTTTGACCAGATGTAGATAGAATTAAGTATCTGCTCCAGCTCATGGCAGTCTTAGTGGGGCTGGGCTTTCTGACTCAGCCCCAAGTGTCATGACTGCAGGATTATTTGGGTGCTGCATGTGGCTGCTCGTCACAGGCTAGAATACAAATGGAATCTCCTCCTCCAGAGACCTTTTCTGAACTGTAGCAATTGTTCAGAGAAGTTTGAACATTACGCTGCCTGGAAGCCCAGAGGTGAAGGGTATACTTTTAAGAGAACTAGGTTCAGAATTGGGCTTGGGGTCTGCCTCCTTCCCCACAGACACATCTACCACCTGGCAGTCATACACAAGCCTCTTGACCACTCAATACCAAGTGTCCCACATCTGGAAACAGAAAAGATGATACTGGTCATGTGGAAAGGATTCAAATTAGATGGTGGATATGAAAATACTTGGTAAATAATCCCATGATGCCAATATAAAGTAACATCACTATTATTATTTTTAATCTTAATTTTTCAATTATAGTTGACATTCAATATTATATTAGTTCCAGGCATACAACATAGTGATTAGACATTTATGTATTTTACAAAGTGGTTCCTCTAATAAGTCTAGTACCCACCTGGCACCATTCGTAGTTATTACAATATTATTAACTACATTCCTTATGCTGTACTTTACATCTCTGTGACTATTTTGTGACTACCAATTTGTACTTGTTAATTCCCTTACCTTTTTAACCTAGCTTCCTAAATCCTCTCCCATCTGGCAACCATCAGTCTGTCCTCTGTGTCTATGAGTCTGTTTCAATTTTGTTTATTCATTAATTTTGTTCTTTAGATTCCACATATAAGTGAAATCATATGGTATTTGTCTTTCTCTGTCTGAATTACTTCACTTAGCATAATACCACCTTGATTCATCCATGATGTTGCAAGTGGTAAGATTTCATTCTTTTTTTTGTGGCTGAGTAATATTCCATTGTATGTATGTACTACCTCTTCTTTATCCATTCTCCTATTTATGGACACTTAGGTTGGCTATTGTTAACAATGCTGCAATCAACATAGGGGTGCATATATCTTTTCAAATTAGTGTTTTGGATTGCATTTGGATATATGCCCAGAAGTGCGATTGCTGGGTCATATGGCAGTTCTATTTTTAGTTTTGTGAAGAACCTCCAAACTGTTTTGCACAGTGGCTGCACCAGTCTGCCTTCCCACCAATAGTGCACGAGGATTCCTTTTTCTCCACACCCTCATCAACATGTTGCTTATTGATTTACTTATGATAGCCACTCTGACAGGTGGAGGTGAAATCTCATTGTGGTTTTAATTTGCATCTCTGTGATGATTAGTGATGTTGAGCATCTTTTTATATGTCTATTGGCCACCTCTAACATCACTATTATTAAAATTCCTAGATTTCTTCTAGGCGTAGGCTGTTTGCTGAAGTTTACATCAGCCCAGACTGTCAGAACCTGAAGCCTCTGCTAGATTTTGTGATGAGAAGTAATTGCACAATGACTGTATTAAAATTATGTTAACTTAGCCTGTTTTGGCATCTATGAAACTAAGGTGTTTTTCTTTCTCCACTTAGTTCCTGCTGCCTTTGCTGGGCTGATGTACCTGTTCGTGAGGCAAAAGTACTTCGTTGGCTACCTAGGAGAGAGAACTCAGAGGTAGGCACTGGGAATGTTTCAGAACCATGGAGCAGTCACACTTATTGAACAGGGAGTGTGGTAATTCACAACCATATTCTGCATAGCATTTGAGGGCCTGGAGGACCACTTGAGGTGGAATGGCCAAGGCTGACTAGGAGCCCTCCTACTGTTCCCCCTGAACTTTGTGAGCTCTGAAAATACAGCTGGGGAAATTGAACAGTGAACAATTCCTTCCCTTGGTATTGGGCTCACAAAAGGTGCTTTAACACCATGTGCTGCACATTTTTTGCAACCTCATACTCTACCCCCACCCTTCACAGTCTGAGGCTTGATTGATGTTCTATGTCTAGCTTTCTGGGCCTCTGGTGAGTGGAACATTTCATTGTTTGCTTAGAGAAATGAGAACTAAAACTTGCACAATGTGATAAGTCTCTTGAATAACAGACCTTCCGGAGGCCACCAGAACGAATGTTGAGACCATAAGGTACAATCACAGGCAGAGGATGGGGACTGAGAATGCAGTCCCCATTGCTTTGCTTATAGATGGTGCTAACGCTGCTGTGACACCCCCACTCCACCTGGTTTGGAAAATCTGATACTAGTAAAACAAATGATGGCACTTACAGAACATTTGAGTGACAGTACACCTAAGAGAATAGGATTCCTAATGTAGCAGAGCCAGGAATTTGTTCTGGGAGGTCGAGCCCAGCCTTCCCCTCCATTTTTCTTCCTTGTCTAGTTTCACACCCCTCCCAGCCTTTTACAATAGCACTCTTCTCTAGTGGCTAATGGGCTCTCTGTTTAGATAGCATCCTTCAGCGGCAACAAAGGCGGTGACATCCCAGGAGGTCAGCAGGTGAAAGCATTACTTCTGGGGAACTGGGAGCTGCAAAGCTAAATGACTTGGTGGTTCAGTGGCGAGCGGCAGCCGGAGAATAATGGCTTTAGCCAACAGTTCTTTCCTGGTGCTCATGTCTCCTTCACTCCTCTCTAGTGGCACTCCTGGTTATATTCTAAAACCACAATTCCATTATCTCTCTTATCCTTATCAACACTGTCCCAAATAATGTTCTTTATTCTCTTTTACCTGGGAAAGCCTCTATTCTGCCTTCCCCAGGAGATTATCTGCTGTCAGGAGTTGGGGTGTATGTCTATCAAAATAAAATAAGAGGGTTCTGCTCTCCTGGTTTGGCTTCCGATGCAGCCCTGTCTTTCTCCCCTAAGTCCCAAGGATTTGGCCAGGTCACAATTTTTCTCTTTATCTGTCACCACTTGACTGAGGTCTTAAAGTTGCTTTAAATCTAAGACAATCTGTACTCATGACAAAATTAGTCCATTTACCCACAGGCTTTTCTTATTTTAAAGATAATTAGTACTAGGAAATGGACAGAACAGCAAAAATAAACAATAAAATATGGACTTAAAATCTGAAAAGTATTTGATTTCTCCAGACCTCATTGAAATATAAATGGCCTAACCTCTTCTTTTTAAATCATTCACAAAATTTTTCAGTTACATTTGATATACATTATTATATTAGTTTGAAGTGTACATGCCAGTGATTAGACATTACATAACTTATTAAATGATCATACTGATAAATCTTGCACCATCTGACACCATACATAGTAATTAGAGTATTGACTATATTCCCTATTCTGTACTTTACATCCCCATGACTATTCTGTAACTACCAATTTATGCTTCTTAAACCCTTCACCTTTTTTAACCATCCCCCCAATGCCTCTCCCATCTGGCAACCATCAAAATGTTCTCATAGCTATGAGTCTATTTCAGTTCTGCTTGTTCATTTATTTTTTTTTTTTAGATTCAATTGTTGATAGAAATATATTTATTGCCATTTTATTGTTCATAGTTTTTATCATCATCCTTCCTCCTCTTCCTCCTCTTCCTCCTCTTCCTCCCCCTCCCCCTCCCCCTCCTTCTTCTTCTTCTTCTTCTTCTTCTTCTTCTTCTTCTTCTTCTTCTTCTT